GCCTTTAGCAAATCTAAAAAAAAAAGTCAAATTTGACTTTGCATTATAAAAATGTGATGCCTAAATTAAATGTTAATTAAATATTATAGACATATAATTGGCCATAACATTATAATAATTAGCATACACTAAAAAAACTAGTTGTAGAAACAAGAAATTGGTATTTGTGGGGAAATTGGTATTTCACAATTTATTACACAATTAATTGTAAAAAAAAAAAAAAAGAAAAAAAAAAGGCAGTAACATTAATTGTAAAATTTTGAAGTAGAATGATTGGAAATAGTATTTTCATGTAATCTTTGTTTTATTTACTGTGAAAAATATTTGTATAGAATTTTAATCTTTTTTTTTTTTTAGCTTTGCATGCTCGATTTTCATGCATTGTTGTTAAAAAATGTTTCAGAATGCAGTTCATAATGAAATTCAAGTATGTCCTGCTTTCTCAATATGCCTACAAGATATGCTGTATTGAATATTAGAAAATGCTAAATAATGTTTAAAGAGAATCATATACCCAAAGTTAAATTGAAGGTAACTCTATTGCCCCCTACTGAGGTTTATTACCACCAGAGCAAGAACACAAAAAAAATGCATTTACAGTACTTTTTCTGTTATTAACAACATTTGTATTTTAATGGAAACTATGCAAATTATGGTACATTTTTATAAGAGTGATCCTCAGCAGTAGTAAATGGAGACTTCCACTCTCATGGTAAAACAAAGAGCAAAAAATGATAAATCCCCAGTGTCTTCTGTTTATGTGTTTGTTTGATTTTTTTTTTCTTTTCTTTTTTTGTATGTCCTTGCCATGGTTTGTGAGCAATGTGACAGGAGGGAATCTGGGGAGGATTATAAAGCTGCTCTGCCATTTCCGACATGTAGGAAAGGAAATAGAGGAGGACAGATATAAGAAAAGGGAGGAAACTAAAGAAAAAATGTCAACGTTAAAAGGGTTATATATAAAAAACAAAAGCAAGGCGGATGAGGAATGACCAAAGATATTGACAGTTGAAAATGGGAAATAAAGAGAGTGGCACAGTGATAATGTTCTCTAAAACCTCTGGTCTTCCCCCTAACAAATTCTCTGTCTTCCCTTGACAGGATTATTATATTATTACCTCATTTTATTGGCGGAAGAAGAAGGTGGGCGAAGCAAAGGGAGAGGGAGAGTGATACAGAGCATCTGTCTTATAGCCTCAGATGGCTCTGCCTCAGAACTCAGAATCCAAGAAGTTAAGCTGAAAATGATGAAGAGATTCTAGACCTTTGTCCTGTTGAGGCCAGAAAGAGACAGTAGAAGTCCCCTTCTTGAGGTCCACAAATTACAGACTATTTGGTGTTTAATATACAGATTCCATATGAATAAACACCAAAAATACATACAGCGCTGTCCAAAATCTCAATCACTTTTGAATTTTTTTGCATGTTCCTAATTTAATTCAGTTTTTTGAATGCTTTAGTATTTTTTTAAAGCAGAACAAAAATTAGATACATAAAATGTTTTTTTGCTAAATAGAAAAACATTGAAAACTCGTTATTAATGAATTATCTTAATTATTTTTACATTTATTTTTAAGTGTTTTATTTTGTTTTTTTATTTTATTCATAATAATAGTAGTAGTAATAATAATAGTAATTATTATTATTATTACTATTATTAATTTGTAAGATTGTTATTTATTGTATTTATGTAAGTGTTTTATTTTTATAATTATTTTATTTTTTAAGTGTTTTATTTCATTTTTGCAAGTATCGTTTTATTTTATTACATTTTTTGTCGTGGATATGTAAAAATATGGGACCTGTGCATTTGATCTTGTAGCTTAAATGCAGAGTAGACACTATATTTTACCCAATGCAAATGAAAACTAGGCTGAGATATAACATATAGTGTGTACAATGGGTTGCACTGTTTGTACCTCTTATTGATTGTTAAATCGATAAGACATTGAAAATACGTCTTTCTGAAAAATTCTCAGGAAAAAAATGGGTTGTGAAAATAAGATATGACCTAAAACAGTAGAATGTGTTAAACGCACAGCTTTTCTCTCACACAGTCTCATTTTCATTCACATCAAATTAAATATGCTGTGTTCTCTGAGTAATGTCCATTGAAGACAGTGTTCAATAGAGATGAAGTGGCTTTTATTGAATTAAAATAGAATTAAAAGAAAACAAAGTGGTATTCTCATTATCTAGGAAGTGAGATAAATGAAGTGGTGGAAGTGGCTTGGACAGTGCAGCATTAATAAAGGGTCATATTCACCTGGTGAGACTCATCACACCCCTCAGCAGTGTTGCTCCACATTGCTCTCCTTGACCACATGTGCTGTGTCAAAGTCTCTCACTCGTTCTCTCATTCACTATTCCCTGTATAGTCCATGCCACATGGTGCACCATATGGGGAAGAAATGAGTGCAGATGAGTGAGCGAATTTGGATGCTAATGTAAATACACTGAAAAACAGAAAAGGTACTAATTATTTCCGGCAAGACATTTACGCTAAGTTTCAGACATTTCATACATTATCTTACATGGAACTTTAGTAACTTTTTAGTAACCTTGTAAGCAAGAATCAACAAATAAGTGTACTTTATGATATTTAATGTATTTTATTTTTGATAATTTTTCTTTTAATTTTATTTATCTTATATGTACCATTATTTGTAAACAAGAATCAACACATATGTGAAGTGTACTTCATTAAGCTTATTTTATTTTATTTTATTATTTTATTTAAATTTTTTTCCATAAGTTTTTGTTTTTGTAATTGTTTTATTTTGGTAAGTATTTTATTTTTGTAAGTGTGTGTGTGTGTGTGTGTGTTTTAAGTGTAACGTACCTTACATTGTAAACAAGAATCAGCACATGAATATTTTGCTTTGCTGTGCTTTGTTTTGCTTTGCTTTGCCTTTAAACTGACCCATCCATCTCAGGTAAAATATGTCCATAATGAAATCTAATTAAAGAACAGCATAGTGTTCTCGTCCTTCCTCAAAGCAGCAGTATCTATAGCATTCTAGGGTGAAGCAGTGCTACGTTCATGCGTAAAAACAGCATTCATCTCCCAGTTACGTTAAGTCATCAAGCCATTAAAACGCTGCTGATATCCGCTTCTCATGTCAAAACATTGATAATTCCTGTTTTATCCCTGTCAAAAAAAATTTGAATGATGTGATATTTCAGCTTTTCGTGGTTGGTAATCCTGCTTAATTCATGACTTCTGATGGGGACACCTGCCTTTCCGCCCAAAGGTTATGACACATAACGGGTCACGCTGTGTTTGTGAGGAGATTATGGTGCTTTATGCGGACTGGCAGCATGGCACAGGGGTGAAGACGGGAGATTATGGGTGAGGGCTTTAGTGGTTTGTGGCGTCTGTCTGCACACATTCACACTTTCTTCTTAAAGGCGTCATATTATACATTTTTTATCATTTATTTATTTTTATGTTCATAGTCCCTGTTTTGTTCTGTTGTTCCTTTAATTAATTCATATCATGAGCGATCTGTTTTTCCTTGAACTTCTAAGATGAAAGAGCCTGATGAACTATGAAAACGTATTGTAACTTTCAAAACTTTCTCCCCAGTCCAAAAAAGTCTGCTCTTAACAGTTTGTGTGGCACATTTCGGTGTGGACTGTCTTGTGATCTTGTATTGTAATGCAAGCTGTTACCTACACAATTATTTCACACAACAGCAAACCCATAAGCTGGTGTGTGAGCACTGGAACGCAGTGCTAGTGCTGCTTCTCATTTCTTATGCAAAAGCAGGTATTTCTTAAAGCCACGGTGACAAATTCTTTCAAACAGAGAGGTGGTGGCAAATGCCCATGAAAAACTAAAATATGACTATGTAAGCACTTTCTTTAAATATGGAATAAGTAACATTGTTTGGCTGGACCGTTTGCAGTCAGGTGCAGTTGTTTATCTGCTATAGCGATGGAAAGACTTAATTCTAAAAATCGTTCTTTCAAGCAGTTGTTAATGAATTTATGCATCTAATTTAATTTTATTTATGTTAGTATTTTGTTTTAATTTTCATAAGTGTTTTTTTGTATTGTATTACCTTATTTTGTAAACAAGAATCAACACATATGAACAAGTGTACATCAATTTGTGTACATTAATTTTAATTTTGTATTTAATTTAATTTTTGTAAGTGTTTTGTATTTGTTTTGTTTTTGTAATTATTTGTAAGTGTTTTATTTTATTTTTGTATTTTATTTTGGTAAATGTTATATTTTTGTAAGTGATGCAAAAAATAGGTTCATTAAAAAAAGATCAGACTCAAAAGAACAATCTGTTCACTAATCTGACAATATTTACAAAAACTGAACATTATTGTCAAAGATTAATAACCTAATCTGCATTGAAATGTGTCATATGAATGGTAAATCCAGATTGAAATGATCAGGGACATTGTTAAGAATAAATCACAAATCTTAAAATTAAACTTACAAATGAAAATGAACTTCTTTTTTAATGTTGAGATCATTCGGAAGGATATGTTTTGTGAATGTGGGTTTTTGACATAATCAATGATTTTATAATGAGTTGGTTTTTACATTTAAAGCATGTTTTAATAAACTTTTTTTCTTTTCCTTTTTTTTTAACCAAAGATCAAAGAAAATGTGATATCTCATATGACCCCTTTAATAGCATTTGTTCTCCTCCCTCGAGTTGTGCGGTTGGACTCCTCTCTCTCTCTCTCTCTCTTTCTGTTTCCCTTCATTTTCTCATCCACCCTCAGTCTATATCAGCAAACATCCTCTGTCTTCTTCTGCAGAGCAACTTTCCCCAACTCTCTGTGAACTCTCCCAGAGTTGCTTCTTTGGAGTATGGCAGAAAGAGGGAAAGTGAGGCTTTTAAAAGTTCTGTGTGGAGGGTTTTCATTAGGTTTCACTTTTCACAGTTGCTTTCGACACTGTGTCAGCTTGTCTGTGAAGTCTTTTCTGAGTTAGCAAAGCTTATAAGTATAACGCCATGTTGTTTTGTGCAGCTGGCTCTCACACCGGGTGTGCGCGTGTATGTGCAGAGTAAGATGTCACTCTAGTCCTAGAAAATGAAAAACAATTGGGCACTAATAGAAGGTATTTTTGTACAGTGAATGTACCCGTAGGAAAGCAGGATCACGTATGGCATGTCTTTATTTTTCTTTCCTAGCCAGAGTAAATTGAACTTTTGCTTCTATTTTAATTCCATAATTTGACATATTTCATAAGTTTTGTTTTATGCTTCTTAGATTTTTTTGTCCTGTAATTTTTCCTTTGTGTCTCCTAAGGTTTCACAAGAGATCTTAACATTGTTTTTTAAGAACTTTTTGATCAAATGAACAGAGCTATACCATTCATATTCATTGTATAGCTCTATACTCTTACAATATGTCAACAAATGTCTAATTTTTAAGACTCAATCATGTGATTTTTTTTTCCAGAAGTTGTATGCTTTAAATGGGCTAAGAACCCGTTAAGTCTCATTATCTTATGAAAGAGCAACCTCCGAGCAGTAACGTATCCCGTACCTACTTCTGTTTCCATAAACTTTGATAGGTTTTCTAAATTTCTGTTTGCCTTTCTCTCTCTCTCTCTCCGTGATAAATACCAGGTACACACACACACACACACACACACACACACACACAGACAGAGCCAGTCAGTTCATTTCTATTTATATTCATATTTATTTGTTAAATGAAATGTATTTATTTAAATTTACTTACATGTTTTATTTGCAATATTGTTTTAAACAAGCTTTTTCATACATATGAAAATACTGATACTGAAGAAGTGCCAGTAATGGTAATAAAATGTGTAAAATGAACAAATATGTATATTTTTTAAAAATACAATAAAATTATTTGGTCATTTCTCACACTGGTGTGTCTATTAATTTAGTTAGGAAGAAAGAGCCTGTCAAATACATTATAGAAAATATAATTAAATACATATGCATATCAAATATATTAAATAAATAGATTTCTTTTTATTGTACTTTATTTTACTTTTGACTTTATTTTGTCATTTTATTTTATTAATTTTACTTTTTATTTCATTTTACTTTTTTATTTTACTTTATTTTACTTTTTACTATTTTATTGTATTTTATTATTTTATTTTAGATTTAGATAGGGATAGTTCACCCAAAAATGAAAATTCTGTCATTAATTACTCACCCTCATGTCGTTCTAAACCCGTAAGACCTTCGTTCATCTTCGAAACACAAATTAAGATATTTTTGATGAATTCTGAGAGCTCTCTGACCCTCCCATAGACAGCAATGTAAGTACCACGATCAAGGTCCAGAAACGTGTCAGCTGCGGCACCAGGGTGACGCGGAGGAGACGAATTGTTAAATAATGACATTATTTTTGTTTTCTTTGCGTACAAAAAGTATTCTCGTAGCTTCGTAAAATTACGGTTGAACCCCTGATGTCACATGGGATTACTTTACCGATCTCCTTGTTACGTTTCTGGACCTTGATCGTGGTAATTACATTTAAGCATATATATATGTCCTCTCTGTCTTTTTCTGGCAGTCTGGTTATCTCATCTTACCTCTCATTCTTTTTCCATTTGGTGTTTAGAATGAATCCTTTGGCCATTTCTCACACTGGTGTGTCTGTTAGTGTAGTTGAGGAGACAGAGCCTCTCCTCAGGCAAAATCTCTCTTGTTGGTCTGGCCCTCTGCAGCACACCGCCAGCTCTCCTCTGTGATGCGCCGCATGAGATGCTGTTTCTCTTGAGAGTTGTGGAGTGGCTTTCTGAGAGAATGTTTCTTCTCCAAGCAGTAGCACACTGCTCATTAGTTTCTCATTCAGCAAGTTCGTTATTCCCTATTTAGTCTAATTTGATAAGTGACTGTGACAAATGTGTCATGAAACAGGGGCAAATTTACTACGACACTTTAGTACGTGGCATTTCACCGCAAAAAAAAATTGACGTCTTTCTTGCATGCTACCTGCAGCATAATCTGTTTACCTTTTTCATAAAATAATTTCAGTCTGTTTTTTAGGAAAAACATACCTTCCTAAGCAATTGTAACTTGTTATAGAATGCACCAAACCTGAAAAATGTATTTGTTATTGATATACAAATTCATTTTAATGCAAGTTGTGACAAAACCAAAATGAACCTGAAACAAGCCTGAATACATTTTGATAAATCTGGTAAAAAAGAAACATTTGAAAATTGATTATGATATACACTACCTAAAGTACAACAAAAACACTGTGAAATATTACAATGTAACTTTTCTTTATTTGAATATATTTTAAAAAGTAATGTATTCCTTGTGATGGAGTTTTTAGCATCATTACACCAGTCTTCAGTGTCACGTGATTCTTCAGAAGTCATTCTAATATCATATTATTCACAAAAATATGAAGCAGCACAACTGTTTTCAACATTGATAATAATAAGAAATGTTTCTTGAGCAGCAAATGCTGATTTGCTGATCAAGAAACATTTCTTCTTATTATCAATGTTGAAAACCGTTGTGCTGCTTCATGTTTTTGTGAAAACCATGATACATTTTTTTCAGAATTCTTGAATGAATAGAAACTTCAAAAGAACAGTGCTTATTAAAAATATAAATCTTACATTATAAATATATTTACTGTCGCTTTTGATCAATTGAAAGTGTCTTTACTGAAGTCTTACTAGTTGTATTATGCTAGAAAATACAGTATATAATGAGATATAGCTTATGCTGTGGAATGTATAGTAACTGTTTTCCTAAATTAATGTTCTGCAATGTTTTTTGCAAAACAATAGAAGTCTGCAATACCTCAAGCTGTTTCTTGCTCTTTGTAGCTCCTGTCACTCTGAATATCCTTCTGAAGGATTTCAGCGTTAGAAATAAGCAGCTAAAGTTTATTTTTAACAATCCATGATCATCACGCTCATCACCAATTGTTTTGTGAAGCTGTCAAAATCAAATACTATTGCAAAGAGGCTGTTATTGAAGGCAGCCTGGGGCGGTGCAAACCATATTAGACTTGACAGCAAACAAGCAGCTCTCGAGTAAAAGCGCAGCAAAGCGCCGTTACTGGTGTCACGTGTGCAGAGGGCGTTTACGTAGACTTCTTAAAGGAACAGCAACAAAAAAACCACCTGTCATTTGTAAAGGTGAAAGACAAGGTTATAAAGAAAGCTTGATTGATATTATAAAGTGGACTTGAGAGAAAGTGACCCATTTAAACAGCTTGAAATACAGCCAGCGGAAGCTGTTTAGCTGTGCATTTTATCGCTGGCAATAAATGTTAGACATCAGCTTTTATTTCCCAGCTGTCGAACAGTCTAAAAATAAACTTTCTGATTAACACATTTTTGTTTTATTTCTGAAATTGTTGAAGTTTAAAAGAAGAATTAATTATGAATAATTCCCCCCAAAGAATGAAGAATTACTCTTTGATGTTTATGGAAAATTAGCAGGCTTGAGACAATCCAAATTAAAATAAAATGACAAAGAATTTACACTGGATGCCAATTTAAGCATAGCATCCTCTTCTCTTGTCCTTAGGTCACTCTGTTCTTGGTCTAGTTACTCCCCTCTCTTTTTCTCTCTTTACCTTAGTCAGTAAGTTATGAGAAGAGCCTGAAACGGCAGGGTATAGGAAAAAGAGTTGGAGGAAGAGAGAGCCTCCAGTGTTTGCAGTCACAAAGCTGCTTTATGGAGCTATGAACAAAAGCTCTTAAAAGCTCCTCTGACGGAGAGGAATAAAGAGCAGCCTAAGGTGCCACTCACATCCCTTCTCCACCAGAATGCAGCCGGAGCAGGTGCTCGCCCGGGGGATCTGCGGACTTCTTTTAGAACGGGCCTGTGATTAAACTGACTTCAGAGGTCGACTAAGATGTAACTGGCTGTTATTACATAACCTGCTCCCATCACAGTCTTTGTTTACAAGGCTTTGGGCGCACCAGAGTTTACGCTGCGTCAGAGCTGTGAATGCATTAGTTTCTACTGAGACGGTTTGTCGCAAAGACGTAATGCGTTTGCGGAAGAGGTGTTGCATTTTGCAAAAAAAAAGTCTGGGATAGTTTAACAATGAGAGAATATTTAAGACAGTCAGATTTACTGTACTCTGATCATTCACTTGTGATTTCTAATATTTTGGCTTAGATGTAAATGTAATATTATAAATAAAGTTTTGATGTATTATGTGTATTTTCTAAGTATTTTAATTTAAGTACTATTTCAAAAGTTAGGAATTTGTAAGGTTTGTATTTGTATTTTTATTTTTTTCAGTCTCTTATGCTCACCAAGGCTGCATTTATTTGATTAAAAGTATGGTAAAACAGTAATATTGTGAAAAAATGATTACAATAACAAAAATTTGATTTTATATTGTAATATATTTTAAATTAATTTATTCCTGTTATGGCAAAACTGAATTTTCAGAAATCATATTGATATGGCGATTTACGTCTTTTTTTTCTTATTTTTTTGCATTCTTTGATTAAAAAATTCAAAAGAACAGCATTTATTTGAGAGAATTCTTTTATGAATCTTTTCTGTCAGTTTTGATCAGTTTCATGAATTTTTGCTGAATAAAAGCATTAATTTCCTTTAAAAAACAAACTACGTAACAATATTGTATTATTTTATTAAAATAGAATTCATAACAATCAACTCAATTTACATGAGATATTTGCAAATAATTGTCTTTCAGATGGACATGGAACATAATGTGGCTAGAAAAGATTCTCTTCTTTCATTCTCCTCCATTCTTTATCCTTATTTTATGGATCTGGAACAAGTTAACCCCTTTTAACCTTACCAGTGGATATTCACATATCTGTAACCAGTGCCGTTGTTCCTGTTCCCTCTTCTTGTGGCATTTAAACAGTTGCTCTCCCAGGAAAGTGTAAAGGAGCCCGTTTTTAATATTATTTGCTCTTAAGTTAGAGTCAAGTCTCCGCAGTCACTTGACTCTGGCATTTTTAGTTTGCTGGTTCTAATGTAAATGTCCTTCAAATGACAGTAGAGCCTGATGGCATTTCCTAGCACTCACACAAACAGAGTCGAGAAATGTCATCTTTTATTTTTGGCCTTTTATTCGCAAGAAATGCCACCCTCTGATGTCTCTTATGAGGATTTTGCTGCTAAACAACCCACCTCTGAAATTAGGTCCAAACGTGTACGGTTTATATTTGATATTTTTTGAGCAAACACACTCACGCAGGCTTAAACACACAGAATTAACATTTTTATCTTGGTTTAGAGGTGAAGAAGCAGACATCCATTAATAGTTCACCCAAAAATGGAAATTCTGTCATCATGTTTAAATCCATATGACTGTTTTTCTTCTGCTGAACACCAACAAAGATATTTTTTAGAATGCATTTAGAAGATTCTTTTGTCCAAAGTAGACTTGTGCCGGTATTCGGTAATGCGATATATCTATGACAGCACTTTTTTCAAACTAAATTTCAATACCGTGATAATACCGTATACTGTGATAAAAGCATTAGCAATTAATCGCAACATGACAATTTGATACTGGCATATCCCTAGTCCAAAGTGACTAACTTGGCATTCACATTCACATTTAATCAGTTCATTTTTATTGGTTTTATACTTTTGTCATTTGTAAAGGTCAAAGATAGGGATGTAAAAAAAGAAAGTTTGACTGATATTACAAGTAGACTTGAGAGAAAGTGACCCATTTAAACAGCTTGAAATACAGCCAGCAGAGGCTGGCAATATTTATCGCTGGCAATAAACGTAGACATCAGCTTTTATTTTCCAGCTGTCGAACAGTCTAAAAATAAACTTTTAGATTAACACATTTTGTTTCATTTCTGAATTATTTGAAGTTTAAAAGAATTATGAATAATTCCCCTGTAATAATGAAGAATTACTCTTTGATGTTCATGACAAATTATACCCTTTTTGGAGCTTTAGTCAGTCCCAGATCACGATATGCTTTTAGAACAGCTTGAACATTCTGCAAAATATCTGCTTTTGTGTTCAGCTGAAGAAAGTAAGTCATACAAGTTTGGTACAACATTAGAATGAATGAATGTTGACAGGGCTGTGCAACCAAAGGGTGAAAATATGGTATATTTTAAAGACTACTTCACTGCAGACACAGTTTTCAAAAATGCCGAATGCTTTGGAGACTGAATCTCATTTTATGCAGTCTGTGCACACTTTCCACCTGTGTCACCAACTCCCTTGTGAATGGAGCAATCTGTGACTACACTATGCTTGAATAACACTAAATAACACAAGATTTCCTCAGATATGATGTAATATGTCCTTGTTCTACACCATTTGACTAATAAGTACATCTCTCTGTGTGGTGTTTCCAGACTATTTTCACAGGAATTATGTTAAAGCATGTGCTTTTTCATCTTTTAAAGCCTTGTGAATAGCCAAAACCACCCCCCTTATTTTGGCTATATTTCCATATAATCCATCCAGATTCTCAGATTCAGAATCCAAGTTTCCAAATCTCATCTATGGGAGTTCTATTTACAGTTTCAAATGGAGTGCACTTGTTTTAAAAGGAAATGCTGGGACTCCAATTTTAATTTTGCTCAATCTGAGGCTGTGTTTAGACAGACACAAAGTTTGCAGTGAAGATGATTGTGGGTGTAGGATATTCTCACTGTCTCTAATTGTGTTTGTTTTACTGGAAGGTACCACCCGGCTGCCCAGAGATGGGGAGGTTCCAGGAGTAGACTATAATTTCATCAGCGTGGGGGATTTTCGCATCCTGGAAGAGAGTGGATTACTGCTGGAGAGCGGAACATATGATGGTATGAAACACTGATATTCTTTATACAAACAGACATGAATGATCTCTCAAATCATGTGACTTGTTGAGAAGAGGTGTGCTATTTCTTGTTATGGTTTTCACCTGGCAGGTGAAATTCACATCGAATGCAATGAAGCTTTTTTCGTTTAGAGACCATGAAATCTAAGTTTAACCGAAAACTTAAACTCTACTCTTATGCTGCCTGTCAAACACTGCCATTTCTGGAAATGCACCTCTAGTGTTAAGATCCGATAGTCATGTTGTTTACTTGACTGACGTGAACTCTGTCACCAGCACCTCGAGGCATTTATCTTGTCCAAAAATAATTCCATGACAGTGCAGCCTCAAAAATGAACTATGGATTTAGCCTACAAATCTTACAGGCAGTGAGTCAGTTAGCACGGGGTTTACACCATGCAAACATGCTTTGCAGAGCTTGAGGTAAACTGCTGAAAAAGGACACATAGGGAAGACAAAAATGGCAGTCTTTCTGCCAATAGAGTACAAAATATTTTTTTTCCTCAACAAACGTTCTATGAAAGGAGCTAAAAAGCAATACCTAGCTCCTTTTCATGCTAAGCTAATTAGACAATCGTTTATATTGTGCGTCTGTGTGTCTCTCAGAAAAAGGTACAAAAGCGGTACTGTTTACTGTAGATACTTATATGTACACTTGAGGTTCAAATATGTACCTTTAAGGTTCTAAAATGCATCTTTTAGGGGTAAATAAGGTACAAAGGTGTGTAGTTATTTTTTTACTGACCATTTGTTAATTTTTTATAATATGTAAATTGGTCATGATGTGTAAATATGTGTAAACATGATATGTAAACAAATTATGTACAAAATGTGTGCACGCACACGCACACATGTGCGCATGCACTGACTTTTAAAGTTTAAAAAAATATTATTTTATTTAGCAAGGAGGCATTAAATTGATCAAAAGTGACAGTAAAGACATTTAGAATGATTTCTATTTCAAATAAATGCTGTTCTTTTGAACTTTCTATTCAATTATGAGTCAAGATATAAGCATATTTGTACTTATGAAAATATGCAAAGAAAATGCAAACAAATATTGGAGAAAAAAAAAGTATATTTTTTTTCTTTGGATTTCCCTAGCAAAAAAGTAATGCACGCACACGCACACATGTGCGCATGCACTGACTTTTAAAGTTTAAAAAAATATTATTTTATTTAGCAAGGAGGCATTAAATTGATCAAAAGTGACAGTAAAGACATTTAGAATGATTTCTATTTCAAATAAATGCTGTTCTTTTGAACTTTCTATTCATCAACGCATCCTGGAAAAAATTGTATCACTCTTTCCACTTAAATATTAAGCAGCCCAACTGTTTTCAGCATTGCTAATAATAATAATAAATGTTTCATGAGCAGCAAATCAGCATGATTTCTGAAGGATCATCTGACACTGAAGACGGGAGTAATGATGCTGGAAATTCAGCTTTGCATCACAGGACTAAATTATATTTTAGAATACATTTAAATAGAATGCAGTTATTTTAAATTGTAATAATATTTCACAATATTACACTTTTTACTGTGTCTTTGATCAAATAAATGCAGCCTTGGTGAGCACAAGAGACTCTTTCGAATGCTATATATCATTTATTTTCAGAGCACTTTCTTTTTTCTTCATTAATGAAGCACAAAAAAGCTTTGTGTGTTTATCCTCCCCTCTGCAGTCTGGTGGGTTTGGATGTCTCTGTCCTGAGAGACAGATAGCGTGCCAGGCGAGTGCATTCACTGTGGCCCCATGTCGACAGTGGGACCGGAGTCATGCCAGGCAAAGCCTGCTGGGACAGGGAGCCATGCCAGTAGGAAATGCCCATATGTGCTCTGCTCTCAAAGAGGGAGACATTCTGATCCTAGGACACACACGCATGCATGCTAACACACAGACGTACACTAATCCCGGCAGACTGTTCCTTAAAGGAATAGTTCACCATCAGGAAGTCACAATCCGGTTTTACAAAATATTTACTGCAATGACATTTTATCCTTGAGACAGCATTATATAGATTTACAACATTTACTGTCTCTCTGTGGTCATGCTTGAGCAATAGCAAACAGATGCTAGGCATTTCTGATTCCCTCATTCCAGTAGTGTGGATACATTTACAACCCTCAAGGCAGCTTTTAATGTAATCCTGTCTAAGCAAGCTTGGTTGAATTAAGAGTTGATCCTGATCAATAAAGATTTAGCGCTCGTTGAAAGCACACAGACATAAAGAATCTCAATGGGGGCGATCTGTAAACATGAATAGACTGTGGCACAATACACTGTACTTACTGCCTGTTGAGTCACATATCAACATCATTTTTAGTCCAATGAATGGATAGATGTCCTGTGCTCACTTGGAATAATTCTCACTGAATGACAGGTTAAAGAAAGATGATCTTTGATTCTGTAAATACATAAAGTATTTATATGTTGGATAATGAAAATTCTATTTTTAGAGCTGTTAAGTTGTTTGAATTGTGACAACAGTTATACATGGGGGTAAAAATCTAGACATTTCATTTTAAGAATGTAGATAGCAGAGGAATGGCTCTAGTAAAAAACTAATATATTTAAAATGCATTTATTTCATACTAAGTATGGTTCAAATCTATTAACATATTTACTGACATGTCGCTCAAGACTTACTGATATAAAAATTATAATTAAACTTTATTTGGAGTGCCACTTGTGCACAATGCACATTTCTTAATATTATGCCTATAATGTTTTTTTTTTAATGTCACTTGTTGATGAGGATTGTATGATCTTTGAATAATATCAGTCTTTAAATGCAAAATATTTAAAGTGTACCTGAAGTATACTTGCAATAGGTCCACCTTAGCACAATCAAATATACTTGAGTATATCTTTAGTTGGACATCAGCACTACTTCCACACAATTAAAGTGCAATAAATACAAAATTCGTTGTTCCAATTTAGCAGATTTAAGTATACCAGTTTAGTATACTAAAAGTACAATTGCAACGTGTTTTTACAGTATTAAGTACATAAATATGTAAATATATTTGTAGTATACTTAGTATGAAATAAATGTTTTTCAGATACATTTTAGTATATTTATGTTTCATTAGTGTTATGGAGGGAAATATGACATTTCTTAGCAATTTTCAGAAATTCCCACAAATACACATTTTTTTATAATGAATTTGCTGAATAGTGGATGCCATTTTGGACCTCTTATGTTGTGTAAAGACCATAAATCTCTGCAATCTCTCCACATTCCATCATTTGATCTATTTTAATGTTATAGCTGCGCTTTATGTGCACCAAAATATTTTTGATATCGTTAAGAGAATGCTGGGACAACGTTTCCCTCGTGGTGGGATTATACGGCTCTCTGCAGATTACTGGCGACAGATGACGCTGTAAATCTGCTCTGATTCTGAGTGTAGAGCATACCTTCTGATTCATGGTTAGCTGAGTGTGTATGTGGTGATTAATCAGGGTTACAGCGTCATGCAACAGCTTTAATTAGCCAAGCACTTACCTAGCATTTATTACAAACCATGTTGTATATAATAAAGTGTGTGTTTATCTGTGATTGAAGAAGTCTTCATCTCATTGCTGGTGAAGAGAAGTTGTTCGGTACACTACAGTTGTACAGTAAGTCTGACATCCAACATCCAACATTACAGTATGTTGCAACTCCTCTAGTATGGAAAGTCTCTTATGCTCACCAAGGCTGCATTTATTTGATCAAAAATACAGTAAAACAGTAATATTGTGAAATACGATAACAATTAAAACAAAACTTCTCTATTTAATTAGCCTACATTTGAAAATGTAATTAAATCCTGTGATGTCAAAGCTGAATTTTCAGCATCATTACTCCAGTGTCACATGATCATCCAGAAATCATTCTAATATGCAGACTTGCTGCACAAGAAACATTTCTTGTTTTCATCAGTGTGGGAAAACAGTTGTGCTGCTTCATAGGTTTATTTGCCTCTTTATGTCACATCAACAAGGTCAAACTGTGGTTAAGTTGGTTTAAATGTTCAAGCATCTCTTCCCACCAAATTGTGCAGCTCTTCGCCAGAATAAGCTGCAAACTGGACCGGAATTTACGCCGATGTTCAAATGTCTTTCTCAGTGAGACTATAGTTTTGGAAACATGATGTTTTTGCATGATGACGCACAAAATGTGTAAAAAATGTTATGGTAGCTGCACAGAAAGTTTCCTTACACTGTGACACTGGATAGCAGGAGATCTCATTTGTATAATGAAGAGAGACAGAGAGGGATAGAGTGAATATTCATCACTGCATATTCATGAGAGGTGAGCGAAGTTGTCAACAGTAGTTAATTGCTTGTGAAAAAGCCTATTCCCACATGGTTTCAGTTTCTATTTGCTAATTAAACTCTTTAGAATTTACAGTCTAAAAAGGAAAGAATTAATATTTCGACTGATTACAAGGATTATATTTTACATTGGCAAAAGATGAATATGTGACCTTAAAAAGCTGTTTTTTTTTTCATAGACGGATGTTAAGGATGTCTAGGGGCAGCATATTTATTTTCAGGATGAAGGGCGCGAACAAACAAAACAACAAATTTGGATAATTTAAAGTAATCTGTGTATAATTGGTGAACGTTGAACAGTTGATTTGAAAAAAATGTCTTTCCATTGGTTGAATCTAATCATACTGAAAGTAATTTCTTTAGTCTTACATCAAGGGGAAATAATGAAGCATAACCCTTCAACCCATACGAACACACATACACACACATTGACATGTACCACCAAATTAGAAATTCATTTGAATACATTATGCTGCTCCACTGATTGGCTGTACCATTGTTTCTGATGCATATTAATGAACTGATTTTTGCATGAGAAGATAGTGGGAAAAGTTTCATTACTGAATCCAGTGGTGAGTGTAATTACTTTCAAGGCACCACCGAATGGAAAGAGTATAACATTTCACACTGCATATTGGATAGTCGACACCTCAGTTTTTGAGATAGCGGGGACTAAGGAAGTAAGCGAAGGTAGAGATAAAGAGATAAATTTGCAGGCAGCTCCTGTCTCAGTGTTCCAGAATCAGCTGTTTCATCAAACTGTAGAGGTTTGTGGATTGTTAAATCAAAGCTAATGTAGCAAAAACGTTGAATCACACCTCTAAAGTTTCAAAGTATCTACTTTTATGACTTATTCAAAGGTATCATGAATCAAAAGAGTTTTTTTTTTGTCTTCAAACAAGGCACTCTTCATTTTTCTCAGGTAACTTCTATGGCACTCCCAAACCTCCTGCGGAGCCCAACTTGATTCAGCCTGACCTGGTCGACCAGGTTTTGTTTGAGGAGGATTATGGCACCGAAGTCCAACGAAAGCGAACAACCTCCGTCAGCAAGATGGACCGCAAGGACAGTGTGGTCCCTGAGGAGGAAGAGGATGAGGAACGGCCACAGCTGCCAAACGGCATCCCAGGTCAGGACAGACTTTAATCTGTGTGTTTTTGTCAACCAAAATGTGAACAATTGCAGTCTAAAAATTCCCACCCATGTTGAGACAGACTGTGCTTCATCACTCTTTTTTTTTTTTTTTCCCAAACTTGGAATATATATCTTGGGACTTTGGCCCGGTGTTATTTTAGTATTATTTATATACTATTATAGTATTTATTCATATATTGAGTTAGCTTTATTTTTATTATTTTACGCTTTCATTTTAATTTCACTTTAAGTTTTAGGAATTTTCCTGTTATTTATTAGTTTTTTCATTTTCCTATTTAGCTTTAATTAATTTTTTATTTCAGTTTTAGTTTTAGTCATTTTAGTACTTCAACTTAAATGTATTTACAGGTATTCCAGATAGCTGCCAAATCAACATTTTTCATTTTTGTTTATTTTTAAGTTTAAGCTTTTCATCTAATATTTATATTTAAATAATTTATTAAAAATGGTCATTTACTTCAGCTGCTGTGCTCCTGTCAGTTCTTTATTAGTAGTCATACTTCAGAGCTGTGACCCAAAATTTTTGCAACTGTCAGAACTTCATTGGATGTTAAGATCCATCGCAAAGTCAATTAATTGGCCGTTGGGGAGCATGTCAAATGAAGCGATCAAAGGCTGCCGATTTTGCCCCACAAGAAAGAAGTCTTTAATATTCCTGAAATTTGTCTCAGACAGCAAATCTTTGCCAAAATCGCTGTGTGCTTGAGGCTTTAACCTGCAGTATGCTTCACTCATGTGCAAGTGATCAGTCTGAGGCCTTACATGATCTCTCAGAGAAGAACCCCGTCCTCTACTCAAGGAGAAATCAGCACCGAGAGGCAAGCTTTGCTTAAAAAACAGCCAAACCCCCTGCTCACATGCTCTCATTAGTTCACAGTATAACCTTATAATCCTTTTGAGATCAGCAGTTGTGCTTTCAAGGCTCGAGGCCTGAAATTTATTCTCTATTTGTATACTGCAGTACTTCAGAGTAGCGTTTGGCAAGCGAGTCACATTGCTCCATAATGGCTTGCTTAATGCGTGGAGGATTCATGTCCGTGACCCTGGTGTCGATCAGCTTTAAACATAAATGAGCTGTTTAGATGTTTACAGGGCTTTAACTTTTAACCCTTGCTTTTGACTTTAGGCAATATAAGCCTCTAGTGTCCCCAGGAGGAACCAAGCTTATATCTGCAGTATTTTTCGTCTTAAATTATGCATGTCTTATGTAATGTTCCTATATTATACTTACATTAGGTATATCTGTTTGTGTGTAGGCTGTGTGGGATATGTAGGTGTATGTAACTTGATAAAGAAATATAAACTGATTTAAACTTTCAGTTTCACGAACAGAAAGTACCATGGTAATTTTGTGGTGTTCAAATGTGTGTGTGAGAGATTAAAGTTAAATATAGTGTGCATAATACATACAATGCAATGCATTAGTACCACACAAAATATGTTTTATAATTTTGTTCAGTGTGTATATATATATATATATATATATATGTACTATTGTATATGTACTATTGTATTTCCCTTTAATACCATGGGACCGCTACAGTACCCTTGTTTAATTTTTCTGCTTGCCTTCTTATAATCTCCTTGTACTCATCTTGGAAGTAAACGATTTAAAACAACTCTTGACACAGTTGTTGTTTCCTGCGATGTATTGGTATATTAATTAAAAGCTGCTGTGTTTGTATAGTCATGTTTGACTACTGGGACTGATGAGGTCTTCCCTCCCAGCCTTGGCAAAAGCCAGTGGAGAGGGACTAGTTGTTGAATATTCGCTGAAGTAAGTAATCCCTTGGCTCATGTTAAAAGAGACGTTTAATGGGGAGTGTCCTTGTCGCAGAATAGTGTCATATTTGCTTTAAAGTCTTCTGCCACTTCAAGTGTGTTTAAAGAGAGGGAAAATGGCAGCGAATTAGTTATCATGCATGCACATGCATACTTACTGATGTTACATACAAACACAGACAGCTGCTGTTACCACGGGCATTTCTTCCTGTGCTGCAGTGCTGCGGAAATAAAGTACAATGCTGTAGCCTTTTTTTATATTTATATTACTGCATTAAATTATGTACATTTACTCAAAATATTCAGATGATGTGTAGGTCCATGCAGAATCCATCAGATTAGAACTTGCAATTTTATAAATTAGTGATGTTTGATAAGACACCTCAGAATCCTGTTGCATGCTATAATAGCCAAGTCAAAATGTACTTGTATAGGGCTTTTCACAATACACATTGTTTCAAAGCAGCTTTACAGAAAAGCTTAATGTTAATGTTTATAATATCTTAAAGGAACACTCCACTATTTTTGAAAATAGGCTAATTTTTCAACTCCCCTAGAGTTAAACAATTGAGTTTTACCATTTTCGAATCCATTCAGCCAATCTCCGGGTCTGGCGGTAGCACTTTTAGCTGTAGCTTAGCATAGATCATTGAATCTGATTAGACCGTTACCATCTCGCTCAAAAATGACCAAAGAGGTTTGATATTTTTCCTATTTAAAACTTGACTCTTCTGTAGTTACATCGTGTACTAAGACCGACGGAAAATGAAAAGTTGCGATTTTCTAGGCCGATATGGCTAGGAACTATACTCTCATTCTGGCGTAATAATCAAGGAACTTTGCTGCCGTACCATGGGTGCAGCAGGCGCAATGATATTATGCAGCGCCTGAAAATAGTCCCCAGCTAGGTAACTTCCAACGTGACCGGCACTAAGTTTGTGTAGTTGGTTATGTTGATGGAAGTTAGCCTATTTTCAGGCACTGCGGATTATCATTCCGCCTGGAGAACGTCGGTCTTAGTACACGATGTAACTAAAGAAGAGTCAAGTTTTAAATAGGAAAAATATCGAAACTTTTGTCATTTTTGAGCGAGATGCTAACGGTCTAATCAGATTCAATGATCTATGCTAAGCTACAGCTAAAAGTGCTACCGCCAGACCCGGCGATCGGCTGAATGGATTCGAAAACGGTAAAACTCAACTGTTTAGCTCTAGAGGAGTTGGAACATGAGCCTATTTTCAAAAATAGTGGCGTGTTCCTTTAATATCTTCATGCCTTAGTCGCATTTAGCAGATTAGAGCTTGGCAATAATATAGTTTACATTTTGTAACAAGCGATCAGGCATTTGAGATTTACTATAATATATATCACCCAGGCAAATATACTGTATGTGTGTGGATTAAATTGGACATACTTATATATTCAACTTTATATAAAAAGCTAGGAGAATATATAGTTAGTTTCTGAGACTAAATAAATCTGGCAGTTGAGATTTGCTATATAATATTGTATATAGTTTTGCTTTATGTGAGTATTCTGTATTATTGTGGATAAAGCGGGATATAATATATATGTCCAATTTTATATATAGTGCTGAGCAATGATAAAATTGTACATTTTGCGACAATATAAACAATCAAGCATCTGGGATTATATATCACCTTGCAAGAGTATATTGTATGTGTGAGGATAAAGTTGCAAATACTTATATATATCCAACTTTATGTAAAGAGCCAGGCGATAATAGTTACATTTTGCGACAAAATAAAAAAAATCAGGCTGTTGAGATTTGTTATAGTATATTGCATTTATGCGGTTAAAGATTTATATAATACATATCCACCTTTATATATAGAGCTGTGTGATAATACGTTTACATTTTGTGATGATATAAATTATTACATAGCCGCAATTTGCCATATAGGCCTAATATATATTGCTTTACATAAGTAGATAGGATGTACTATATATCCAATGTTTGATATATCGCTGGCCGAATAAAATCGTTTTCCAACAATTTTTGACAATATAACAATCAAACTGAGATTTGCTATATAGTAGTAGCAAGAGGTTCACGTTTATATATTTTATATATACAGTGTATGCTATAGAGTATTATGATGCAAAAATAAAAAAATTACAAGATATTTATGTAGCATTAATTTGTGATAATAATAATTATATAAATACTTTTTCTGTAATGAACCTGAAACAGGAAAAGATCTTGCTTGCACACCATCTTACTTTGACATGCAAATCCTTCTCCTGTGTTAGTTTTGCATTGTTTATCTTCTTTCCTTCTGCAGAGAGGACAGAGGAGTGGAGGAAAGCTGTGCCCAGCTACACTCAGTCCAGTGGTGGAGGCAGTGCAGGTGGCAGTGGGACTCTGGAAGTCCGCACCTGGAGCTCTTTAGCCAGAGACGAAAGCCTGGAGCCCCTGCCATACAACTGGGAAATGGCCTACACGGAGACAGGCATGGTCTACTTCATAGAGTAAGTGTGTGTGGCCGTCAGAGGAGAGATTTAGACTTCACTTAACTGCATGAGGGCTGCTGCTGTACTCATAAATTTCGGGTCACCTTCTAGTCTACGGCCCATTCATAGCATTGGGAATATGGATGTATTAACAGATAAAAGTGCATTTCATATAAAAAAAAAAAGTGCAGTTACTTTAAAGATATCACTGTAATTTCAGTTATTCAGTTATGTAATTTTCAGTTACATGTGCATATTCAAAACTTGTTGCATCACTTTCAGTTAGATAGGCTACTATTTGTGTTTAATCATGTACATGGACATATTTTATCATGAGATTACAGAGCTATGGTAGAGGTTAACAATTTTGATGAAAAGTGTGTAAATTACAAATATATTTTACATTATTTATAAAATCTATTTGTAAATTCTGTAAATAATGCTTAACATTAATATTATCCATTACAGACGTTTTTTTGTGGTTACTTTGAACCCATGGCTTTATACAGTACCTTTGGAACCGCATGTGTCTTGATGATTTTTTGTTGTTGTTGTTGTCACATTACTTAACACCATCTGATTTGACACACTGTATATCACAGAATATTGTTTTTGTGTGTATTATTGTTTCATACCACTGAATGTCATGTGGGATTTGATGCACTATTCACAATACCACAGGATATTGTTTTGTTTGTTTTTGTGTTTTGTTTTGCATTTATTATGCCACTGTAGTATTCCTGTGGAGTGTTTTCGTTTTTTATTGCTGGAGGTTCTTAAAGTAATATTTTGACGCAGTTGTTATATGCAAAGACATTACAGTATATGCAAATTGTCTATTTATACAACGTTTTTATTTACTGGCTTTAAATTTGTTCTCCAGTATTTCCTTTTATAGGCAGCAATATTTGTTAGCAGGCAGCACATTTTCCCCTCCATAGAGCTGCTGTCTGATTCTATTCAGGTCAAATCTCAAACTCCATCAACATAGTATTCCAATTTCTATTTTCACAAGCGGCATGCTTTATCACTTTCTCTCCCCATCTTGCTGATATCTGATGTTTTTCTCACTCTGAAAAAGTAGTGTTGCTTTTAAAAGTCAAGAGCAGAGCTGTCAGAATGAAAGAATAAATATAGCTCGCAGTGTGGCCTAGATGCTCTTTAAAGAACAGAGTCAAAGTTCTGTTTGTGTGTGTGTGCATTTGGGGTCACAATCATAAATATTTTAGTGGTTCCAAACATTTTCCAGTTCAGTTTATAAGACTTATAACTACAGGCCATTGAAAACCTCACCCTCTTTGACCTGCCAAGGCTTTATAATAAATTTGCATTAGTCTAAATCAGCGGGTCTCAAACTGAGGTCAATGCAATGTCAAAAATAGACCTAAATAATAATAAAAAATAAAAAAATTGACAAAAAGTAATAACAATGAATTAATCAACTAATGAATCAATTCATAATAATAAATGAACATGTTCAGTCCAACTGCTTGCGATCAATCAGTTCATTAAAGTTCATTAGATGAAAGTAACGGTCTAGTTTATTTTAATGAAAGAAGAACAAAACAGTATCAAACAGTATCAGTATCATGCTGGTATGTAGCCCAAAATCGCTTGTGAAATACTGGTCTAAATACAGCTCTAATATCTAATGCATTTTCTTTTTTGTTTTATAGCCACAACACAAAATCGACTACGTGGTTGGACCCTCGTCTGGTCAAAAAAGCCAAGCCCCCTGAAAAGTGTGAGGATGGAGGTGAATCTTTGCATTACGCATTTATATAAGAAGCCATAAACATGTATGACAGCTACATGCATATGCAAATAGAAGTTCAGTTGCATTCAATCAGATGTGTGTACCCTTCCACATTCACACGCCGCAGAGGGCATGATTGCATAACCTCATCTGAATGCATTCACTTCCTCTTGCCTTTTCACTCTTAATATACACACGAGCACACATGATGTCTAACAAAATGTAGCTGCTGTTTTTAAGGAAGTCCTGTATATATATAATTATATATATATATATATATATATATATATATGTATGTGTATATATGTGTATGTGTATGTATGTGTATGTATGTATGTATGTATATGTATGTGTATATATGTATATGTGTGTGTGTGTATGTGTATGTATATGTATGTATGTATATATATATATATATGTGTATGTGTGTGTATATGTATATGTGTATATATATGTATGTATGTATGTATGTGTGTATGTGTGTGTGTGTATATGTGTATATTTAATATATATGTATGTATATATACGTGTACTGTGTTAGGCTAACCGAGACTTGTCATTTGCACTTATATATTGTTGCTCTTTTGTTAGTTTTGACTGCTTTTATTGTCCTCATTTGTAAGTCGCTTTGGATAAAAGCATCTGCTAAATGACTAAATAAATAAATAAATAATACAAAGCAACATAATGTGAATGAAAAACCAGAAAAAATATTTTATTTTATTTTATTTTACAAAATAAAATGTATTGAAATTTTATGACACATTATTACACTAGCTTGTTTTGCTTGTGAGGGTAGCATTATAAAATATATATTGTATTAAATTTGTAAAGTACATCTTAAATACTCTATCCATTAAAACATAATTTTTTAAGAACATATATGATATATTTAAAGCAAAATTAAGTAAGTATTCTATTTGGTCAAAATAATGTAATAAAAATATATGTTTTATTAAATGTTTTTATAATGTCATGCTGCAGAAAACATAAAAATGTAATAATTTTATTATAATTTAAAGGGGTCATATGATGCGATTTCAAGTTTTCCTTTCTCTTTGGAGTGTTGCAAGCTCTTGGTGCATAAAGAAGATCTGTAAAGTTACAAAGACTAAAGTCTCAAATCCAAAGAGATATACTTTATAAAAGTTAAGAGTCAACCACGCCTACCTAAAACGCCTTGTTCTAACACGACCCACATATCTACGTCACTATGTGGAAATATTAGCATAATGCCGCCCAAAATGTGCACGCAAAGAAAGAAGGCATGGTTTCAGGAACAGCAGTAGTGTTGATGCAGCCGTGTCAGGGAGACGTTGTGTGATTCAGTGCGAAAGCAAAAGCACTTTATTTGGCCTTCCGGAAGTAGATGCAATTAGGAATCATTGGTTAAGATTTATTTACAACAGAACAGCACAACCCAGATGTTCGAATTTGTGCAACGCATTTTATGGACGACAAGGCTAGAAGAGTACAAGGCTGGCTGTGCACAAAGGCTATTTCTAAAAAAAAAAAAGGGTAAATTCCGATTTTGCTATGACAATCTAGCGCTTCTGAATCAGCGACTGTAAGTATGTTTTGTTATTAGTTTAAGTATTTGCTATTGACTGTTCAAATGCAGAGTTTTGCGCAGTGCAGAGTAACGCGTCGTGTGTGTGTGAGGGGAACAGGGTCACATCACAGGAGAGTGAACTGCCTGTCAGAAATCATAGCACGTCTGCATCATCACTGTGTCTGTCATGCGACTCTGTTGCCCTTTCGGGCTTGAACTGATGGTAAAACTAACGACATTATTAACTGTCTTGATATTTACTTTGAAAGCTAAAGCTCACGATAAGCTCACGTAAGGGGCGTTACATTTCCAACACGTGCTTGTGGTGTTCGGCCAATCACAATGCACTGGGTCAGCTGGCCAATCAGAGCAGACTGCGCTTGTCAAAGGAAGGGGCTTTGTTGAAAACGACGTGTTTGAGAGAGGCGGGGCATAGAGGACCTACAATAATGTACAGTATTTGAAAAATAATGTGTTTTTTTAACATTAAAGCATGTCAACATATTCTATTACACCAAATACACAAAATAATGATCTTTAAAATAGCATCATATGACCCCTTTAAATGATTTCCTTTTCAAAATGTTGAAAAGTGGTCATTTATTTATTCATTTTTATAATTATTTATATAATTTTTTTTCTAAAGTCCATGTATAATGTTTCATATTTTTTACAGCAAAAACCCAATATTTTTGCACCGAGAGGCTGTCATAATTGGATTTATAATAATTTTTACACCCACTCTCATTTCCTTAGATTAACCAGGCTGCTAAAGTACCTTTGATATTTCTTTATGTAAATAGCTTTGTCATGATTGGCTAACCTTTGAAAGGTTAAAGTGTATTACATGTAAAAATCAAGGAAATTGATGGTTCTTTGTGATATGACCTCTTTAAAATGTTGCCTGCTGTTGTTAATGATGTTGTTGCAGCCATATGCGTGTGTGTGTGGATTTGCATTTAAACACATTGCTCTTGTTCCTTTATCATCAGAACTTCCATATGGATGGGAGGAGATTGATGACCCGCAGTATGGCACATACTACGTTGAGTAAGTCCTATGATTGGATTAGATTTGTTTTCTTTACGCTTTTTAAAGTATAGGCTAGCGATATACTTAAAAACTTTCTTTTGTCATTCTCAGTCACATAAACCAGAGAACCCAGTTTGAAAATCCGGTTCTAGAGGCCAAGAGGAAACTCGGTTTGGACACTGCAGTCGCAACTCAGACCCAACAGAGGGCAGCACCTCCTCCAGGTACAAACAAGCACCTCCCTAACTGTGAATTTAAACTGAAGTTATGAGTGTTTAAAGGGAACAGCAAAGACACTCAGCATGTTAGAGTTTCCCGCCAGCAAACACACAGGCTCCTCACTGGGTGAATGATTGTGTGGGGGAAACAGGGACAGAAAGATAAGATTAAAGAACGGTGAGTCATCTGCCATTCTCAATATGATGAATTAAAGATTCTTCCATTACACTGGATGTATTATAGATGTGTTTGAGCATGTGCGTATATGAGAGAGAGCGAAAAACTCGGGGAAGAGAAGAGTGCTGTTTTAGGGTGGATGGATGGGAGTATAAATGTTATAGAGATTGCTTTGCAGCACATCACAAGCTGCATTAACATAAAAGAGAACATTAGCATCCATCATGCATTCACATTGCCTCTCTTTGATCAGTCCCTCTCTAAAACATGGCTTTACTTCTACATATTCGTTCCGAATTTCTGGAAACAACGACTGCTGTCCATTCAGGCCAGAAAATCCATATCTACTGAAGTGAACAGTGGCTGTCGATGCAGAGATGACAGGAACAGGGGGAAAATAGATGACACGTGAGTCTGAGGGCTTTGATTGGACGGAGACCGGCGTAACAGACCCTCTATTCGGGCATTAAGAGTTGAAGGAAGGACAAGGGGAAAAAGCACATTTTCTTTTGCTTTGCTGAAACGCTCAGTTACCGTGGCAGTGGTGAGACTGCATCAAGTTTCATTCATTTAGATATCAAAATCACAAATCGAGTGGCATCTACAGACACACAATGCTAGAGCTTTCTCAAACGCTGGTTCACCAACATGATTTTAACAGATGGAAAAACTCAGTTGGCCCTGATGTTCACACAGGTGTCCTAGCAGAGTAACCGCAGGTGTGACTATGGACATGTGCCACTGACATTTGACAACCACAAATTGTCCAAAAAGTGTGTTGTTAGTTTCAAATAGCAGAAAACTGTCTTTTCTCTACTTTGTCCTGTCAAAATGGCAAAATCAATGTTTTGACAGGCCTTCCTCCTGTAATAGGGAGATTCACAGCTGCCATTACAGCACATGCAATCAAAGCGTTCTCTCTAACAGCACGTACACACACACACACACACACACACACACAACCCAAGCTTCCTTTAGCTCAGTGTGATTCTTCTTTTATTGTTCGGTGATATAATAGTTCATTAAAACAGTGTGATTCCCACAGTCTTCTAGACTTCTTTGGTGATTTGTGAACTCTTGAGAGTACAGTATTCCATGGTACACTGTATTCATCTTTTCTGACAGGATGTACAAAAAGGGAATCAGAGCAGTTACGGGCATAAAACACAAACAGTTCCCTCTAAAACTTTCACTTACAGCAGTGGAACATTATCTGGAAATCTCCACACCCAGTGCTGAGAGGGTTTCTGAAGGTTGTGTAATATTGAGAATGTGAGTGTTGTCACTCCCTCAGCCCTTTTGGGAACACACAGGATTGCAGTGTATTAGACGAATATGTGAGGATGAGCCGCTGACGATAAATGTTCTCGTCTATGCTGTCAGAGAGAGTTGTTAATGGTTTTGTTTACTATGCCAGATGTTTGGAATGATTCGCGGTTTTAATTACATGTCAGTCACACATAGGAAAACATTCCTGTACAATTAAATGATAGTTCATGGAACATCTATGGAATCTGTGTACATACACATGGATATTATGACTATCTATCTATCTATATATCTATCTATCTATTTAAAAATATAAAAAATAGAGGTTATTAGTGTTCCACATTTTATGCAATCCTTTTTTGCATAATTTCCCCCTTTTGCAAATAATGTAATGGTCTTTACAATAGTGACATACAGGAAGCATCATCATGGAAAGACAAATGAATAATTTCATCCATTTACTAATTTTTTTTTACACAAATTGTAGTGAACATTGATTGCACTCTTAAAGCTCAACTGGAAGATTTGAGGATTTTTTTTATGTTGAAAGTTTATCAATAACTGCAAACCAACATTTTGTCCCAAACAACCTATACTCTACCATATTGCATTTTATTTTAGGCTATGTTTGCAACCCTGTTACCCATTTTTTTAAATATATTTTTGTCTGTTTCATTTTTTTTATTTTATTGTAATTTTTTAATGCTATTATAATTAAATTTATTCAAATAACTAATTCTAAACGATAGAATGTCCCACATGTCACATATTTTAGTTTGACCGCCTGAGGTTGATGGTCAACCTTTTCTAAAGGTTAGGTCTCTTTTTTTCTGTCCATGTGTTCAAAAAATGTGCTTCAGACCCTTTTTTGTGTTTCAGGCCCTATTTTGTATCATATTCACAGAAAGTATCCCATAATGTGCTTTGGTTAATGATAACAGGACAGTCTGCTTGTATGACTTCACACATTATTGATGAATCTGTCATACATTTTGAAAACATATTTATCAGTGAGCATTGTGGTGCAGTTGATGATTGTATATATCGTAAATCTACTGTATCAATGTCTAGTTGTTTACAGTTTTGTCTTTGTGCATATTTTATGTGAAGTTATCACAGATGTCTGTCTGTGTCTTCCACTCCTTCTGACTCTGTAGGGGGAGCTGCTGGTACGCTGGGGTTCTCGCGGGACCCAACCCAGCTGAAGGGGGAGCTGTATCACACGGCTCTCAGGAAGAGCCAGCAGGGCTTTGGTTTCACCATCATTGGTGGAGACCGACCTGATGAGTTCCTACAGGTGAAGAACGTTCTTGCTGATGGCCCGGCCGCCCAGGACAACAAGATGGCCTCTGGTGAGTGATGCCTAGTTTGGTGAATGGTTTTAAGGGGAACATCCACAATTCACATTAGGGGTAATTAGGAAGCCAGCCTACAAATGACTTAATTATAGATGTCTCGTCACATTAAATGGGATAGGAAAAGTATATTAACATAAAAAGGCTACAGAATAATGGCTTTATTTATTCACCCTCATACTGTTCCAAACCATTTGACTTTTTTTCTTCTTCTGTGAAACAAAAATTTTGATATTTTGAAGAATCATGCATTTTTTCCATATCATCCTTATTTTAGTATTACTCATACTATCACAGTTTTTTTTTTATTATTCTGAAATAGCTTTTGTTTTTACATTTTTGTTTTAATTTTTGTTTATTTTTTTAGTAATTTTGTTTAATGCGCTTAAGTCATTTTTATTAGTTTTTTTCAATATTGCTATATATTTAAATAAAAAAAATGTTTTTATACTTTTAGTTTTAGTTAAGTATAATAACCTGGTTCCATACAGCAACAGTTCATTGTGACCATAGTGGCAAGTCATCTAAAGACACATAATAACCCCAAAAAAGACTGAAATTTAAGTCATTATTCACTAATAATCTTCCTTTCCATTGAGTTGTTAACTAGAGAGCTGCTGCGGATGATTGAGTGAGTGAACAATCAGTCTGATTCATGAACTGGATCAGCTGATTCAAAAAAAAAAAAAAATCAAAGGAATGATTCATTCACTGATCGAGTTCAAAAACACTTGGAATATAGTACACAAGTCACACAAACTGCTTGGTATTTCTTCGTCATTTTTGTATCTTATCAAATGTGTATAAAAAAGATCTGTGTCAAAATTCTTCAAAGGTTCTCAAATAAATAATACACGTTTGAAATGACAGTGTAAGGGTGAGTAAATAAGGACAAAAATATTTAATTTTGTCTAAACTATTCCTTTCATCTAGCGTCTTTCAAAAACATAAATGGATTAGAAAAGTTGTTCATCCACTTTGTAATGGTCCTTTTCCTTTCTGATGCTGTCAAATTCCCTCTCTTTTCAACCTAGGTGATGTAATTGTGGAAATCAACGGCACACTTGTCTTAGGCAAGACCCACGCCGACGTGGTCCACATGTTCCAGTGCATCCCAATTAATCAGTACGTTGACATGGTCCTCTGTCGTGGATACTTGCTTCCCCCTGACGTGGACGTGGACAGCGAGGACCTTCCCCCTCCACCTCCACCTCCGACAGGAGAGATCGTAACCGCCGTACCCCTCATCAATGGCCAGCCACTGCTGGTCAAAGGTGACGCCCTTCACGGCTCCTCCCAAGAGCTTCACTACGTAACCACAGACGCCAGTGGGCGGCCGGTGGTCGCTGCTCTTCCAGGAGGCAGCAGCAGCAGTGCAATTGACAGGCCCAAGACGGGGATGCTGCAGCCGGAGCTGGTGAGCGTGCCAATCGTGAAGGGACCTGGAGGATTTGGCTTCGCCATTGCAGACTGTCCTCTGGGGCAGAAGGTGAAAATGATCCTGGATGAGCAGTGGTGCCGAGGCCTGTTGAAAGGAGACGTGATAAAAGAGATTAACAGGCAGAACGTGCAAACGCTGAGCCACGCGCAGGTGGTGGATATACTGAAGGACCTCCCGGTGGGCAGCGAGGTGAATCTGTTGGTGTTGAGAGGAGGTAAGAGAGCAGGAGGGTGTATGGAACATCGTGCTAATCATTTAGGCCATAAACATACAGAAAAAGCTGAAGGTTTACTATAATTGTCGCTTTGGTCGCTCTTGTTGCATCATTTGCATTCATGTTTGTTCTTGTAGCTCAAACAGTAGAGCATGATGCTTACAACTCTAGAGTTGATTCCCAGGGAATTCATAGTGCTTTTCACAATACAGATCAAAGCAGCTTTAGAGCAAATGCTTGTTTTAATTATATTTTGGCCTTAATGACCAGGAAATATATATACTCCGAGATTATGGAATGCGCTTCCTTTAAACATTCGAAGTGCTCCTACACTAAGTACTTTTAAGAAACTGTTGAAAACCCACTTTTTTAAAATTGTCTATTATGATTAAGTTGTATTTACATGTGACATTGTTGTAGCGCTTTGGGTTGAGAAAAGCGCATTATAAATAAAATGTATTATTATTATTATTATTATTATTATATATAGCTTGAATGCAATAGAAAAACCCTGCTAAAAAGACTTTCAAAGACTTTAACTTTGAATAGCATGGAGTGAATATAAATGAATGAATAAGGCTGTCAAACCTTTTAATCCTTTGAGCCTTTGTCAAGCCATTATTCAAAAAGTTTGCAGTTTGTCTTGATAAATCGTCTTTTTCTCATAAAATTACAATTATTGCAGTTAAAAGAATTTCTTCAGTACAATATATCTTTAAATACAAATTCTGCATCATGTTTAGTACTTTCATTTTAATTCAGTAAAAATTCAGAAAGTGAAAAATTTGTGATTCATGGAAAGAGAACACTGTGCAGTAAGTCGCTTTCTTATACAGTATTTTTTTTGTTTTTTTAGTACAAATATCTATGTTCTTAATTCAAGATTTGTTTGAGATGCACAATGACATAACATTTGTTATATATATATATATATATATATATAGAGAGAGAGAGAGAGAGAGAGAGAGAGAGAGAGAGAGAGAAATATATCAAAATTAATTGTAGTTTGTATTTTTTAATAATAAAAAAATAATGCCCGCAGTATTAGAAAAAATTACTTCATTTTAATCTTAATTTTGAAATGTTTCTCAGAAAACAACATTTAGCATCTAATGTCATTTTTGCATCTCAAGTAATATATTTTGATTTAAATATGTTTAGATATTTGCACTGGAAAACAAGACAAAATACTGAGTAAGAAAATGAATATGCAGTGTAGCAGAGGACATTTTTCAAAATTAGAATTTTCAGCAGGGAATTACACAAAAGCTCTTTTCACTTTTTTTCACTCATTTTTTTGTTATATCTGCATTGTTCAGCAGGTGAGAAATCAATTGCGATATTTTCCCCACTTCATAAGTTTACATTTTAGCCACACTCCTCTCCTCCACTCTCACCGATCATACTTGAGGTGTGTTTCTGTCCCCTTAGGAGAATGTTATGTAAGAATGATGGACGGTTGATCCTTGTACAGTTGGCAGGAGAAGCCCCGTTGTATCTTTTGCACCCACTCCTTGGGGCTGGCTGGGAATTTGGGAAATGAGTTTAAATCACAGGGGAATTTCAGGATGTGTCTGCAAAGAGTTCTGTGAGGATTTATTGTCTGAAGAGCGAGAGAGAAAGAGAGGGAGGGGGAAAAGGGGAAAAAAAGATGAAGAAAGAGAGCAAGATAATGCTTTAATCAGTTCTGTTAGCCCTCAAAGGCTGAGTGAGTTTCGTCATTCGTTGTTTAGCCATTAAATTCAATGGAAATCACACCAATCCAGAGAAAGACAGAGAGAGAAAAAACCAAAGGGAATGAATAAATGGTGGTCGTTCTGAATTGACAGATGGAAGTGTAGCAACGTCATTATTTTATGCATGACTTCTGTCATTTGCAATGTCTTTCTCCCTGGAGGATTCATAATTTTCTCTTATGTACACTTATTCTATCTATCTTTAATGTCTCCTAGATGATGTGTCATGATTAACTCAGCTCGGTATTGGCTCAGGAAACACCCCACTTTTAAGCACTTGAATGGTGCTTCCTCTTTGAGTAGCTTTTTAGTTAGATGGATGGGAATTAATAATGTAGCATTGAAACAATGTATTCTCATGTTTTTATATTTGAGAGGCAACAACCATGAAGCGCTGTCATTATAATAAGGCTAGAAACTTTCTATCCCAGTAACGAGTTCTTGTTTTTTTCAGCTGTCTGTTGATGAGTGCCTGTTCCCCCATTTTTTCCTCCTTCCGTGCTACTTATGTCTCTCATTTGCCTTTTCTCTATTTCTAGGTCAGACGTCGCCTGTGAAGAGTTTAAGACCTGTGAGTATGATAATAGATTTCAGAGGTGATAATGACCTTGTAGAAATGAGGAAATGGCTGAATATTTTATTTTGTGCTGAAGTTTCTTCTCAATTATTGTTCGTGCTTGGGGTTTGGGATTTGAACAAACCCCTTTTTGTAAGTACCAAAGTTTGGTAGCTGACACATCCCACACCATTTGTACTGAATCGTGTGGCGTGTACTACTTTGAAATGATAGGATGTACGATTTTCACTTGAGAATGATGAAACCGGCAAAAACAATCCCATATACTTATATTGAAGAAGGGTTTTGAGGGATCAGAATATCATTGAGAATTATAATTAGGCCCTTTTGACCCTGGCCTGTAAGCACTCTAGTATCAAACTGGTGAGTGTTGTATGGACATCACTCACAATTACTACAATAAATGCTTCGAAAGACCAGTAAAAAAACATGAGGCAAAATGGCAAAAACATGAATTGTATGAGTGTGTTGGGCTTCATTTTCCAATGGGATTACTGATAGACTTTTAAATATTCCATTCTGTATCACTCTTGCACACACTTGCATATGAAGTGTGGGAATTTTCCTGTAAACCAGAAGGCCCGATCCCGATTTATTTTCTCAGAGGATATGCCCAGTGAATAGTTTAAATGCTGCTTGTTATAGTCCACATCTGTGTGCACTCTGCTGGTCACTTTGTGAAGTGATATTAAAACACATTTTATTCCAACAGAGACCGGGGTTGAGTGCCAGCACTGAAACTCTGGACCGTTGCCATGACATCATGGTTCCCCAGGCTTTAACCTATCACTCAAACACACTGCCATGCAGCTCTCCAAAACAAGACGCTTCCCTCCACTACAGCAAACCCAAAGCCTTGCCGGAGAGCATAGGTGAGTCTCTGCTGAGCTCATCCAGCAAGAAGGAAACTCTTTTATGTTACAGCACCAAGATGTGGATCTGTTGGATTTGAAAATTTGTCTGAATGCTATATCCTGTATCAGATATTTCTTTTGCATTATCTATTTAAAGTATGGAAGAGCATGTTCGCCTCAAGAGTAAAAAAATAATGTAATAGTGTAATAAAGTTTAAAGTAAAAAAACTATAAGTATAAACTATAAGAGAATCCGTTTCTGAAGAAACATTTCATCTGACAAGTTTTTGTTTACATGATATATATGTGTGTACTGTGTATATTTATTATGTATAAATAAATACACACACATACAGCATATTTTTGGAAATATGTACATGTATTTACATGTATATATTTATATTCATATAATTTATATTATATTATAAATATTATAAATACATTTAATATATAAACATAACATATTTTTCTTAATATATACATGTATGTGTGTGTATTTATATATACATAATAAATAGAAATAGTACACACACATATATTATGTAAACACAAACTTTTATTTTGGGTGCGATTTATATATATAAAGGTCACAGTTATGTCTGATGTAACTATGTATGATATTATGTGATATAAAGTCACAATTATGAAATATAAAATTACATTCTATTTTAATTTAGCTTATTTTATTTAAATAATTTATTTTAAATACATATACAGAACAGGGTTTTTTGTAATCTTTTTTTTTCACATTCAAATCATAATACATGAGAAAATGGCACACTAGTGTCAATATAATGAGAGCTGTGGGCAAATGTCTTGTTCTTGCATATATTCCGCAATTTGGTTTAAGTGTGTGGAACTTTGAATGAGATTTATGAGCAGAAGATTTTCAGTTAATATCAATTTGTTAAAACGTTGTTGAATGGCTTTGGGAGACTTTGAATATAGTTTGAATGTAGTATTTTATAGTACTTTTTCCCTTTAGAGCTTTACAGTCTGAATCACCAGCCACTATTATTGCATGGAAAAGAGCAGCTGTTTAATATGAGCTTCACGTAAAAAAAATATCATATGGTTTTCAAATGACATATTTGAGAAAACTATCCTTTTAATTTATTATCTGAATGCAGAGACACAGAAAAGGCCATGTGCATGGCAAATACTGTTGCTTTTATTGTTGGTTTTGCTTTTTTGTGTTGAATTGATGAATGTGGTTAATGCCATGTTTTTCAAATGATATATTGTATTTCCGTGTAATTCTGTCTATTTTTATACAGTACCTCACTATAAAGAGTTGGACGTGTTCATCAAGAGAGATCAGGAGACAGGCTTTGGCTTCCGTGTGCTTGGAGGAGAAGGTGCAGAACAACCAGTGAGTCCCTCATACTTCTGTATCCACATTACTGGATATTTATATTCATGGACTGTATTTATGTGATTTATTAGCAGATCGACTTTCTGTCTTAACTCTAAAACAATCTGTCTAATTTCATTAGGTCTACATTGGTGCCATCATTCCCCAGGGGGCGGCAGAGAAGGAAGGCCGTCTGAGGGCCGGAGATGAGCTCGTTGGTATCGATGGCATCACTGTGAAGGGGAAATCTCACAAACAAGTTCTGGATCTGATGACTAACGCAGCACGCAACGGACAAGTGCTGCTTTCAGTGCGCAGGAAGGTCATTTACAGAGGTGAGCGCTGTAGACTGACAGGCCTTAGACATAAAACCAGCGCTGGAGTGTAATTAACTGCCTGAAAAGCTTTCATTAAAGGTCAGTCTGTGTAATCTTCTGCTCTATAGATGCCCTGGAGGATGTTGGGAGCGGAGCGTTGACCCTTGTGAATGGCTCACCTCAGCTTCCACGTATCCGGGTGCCAAGCATCAAGAACCAGGGGTCGTTTGATATCACGCTCCATCGTAAAGATAACGAGGGCTTTGGCTTTGTCATTCTCACATCGAAGAGCAAACCGCCTCCTGGAGGTAACAGCAAATTCATTGATGTACCAGCCGAAGTCATTCGGCAAATAAACAAGAACAAAAAATTAGATATCATTAGAACTTGGAATCAAGACCCTAGTGAAAAATAAATATACTAAAATGTATTTGAAATACATTGATTTCATGCTAAATCTACTACAAATAAAAATACCCTGCAATTGTACTTTTGCACAGTGAAAGTTGTTTCTTTATTTTCGTCCACTATAGTCCTATATACTGTGTGTAAATGGTAGTCAGTGGTGTTTGCATCACAACTTGCACTATTCATTGAGCATATTACGTCATCAGTGTTGCATGTTCATTTATTTAGATTTTAAGATGTCATGTAAAATACAGTAGTTTAAATTTAAAAAGTGCCTTGAGGCCCCTGTTCTGTTCCATTCCATTCCATCCAGCTGTTTTAGTTTTACACAACCCCAGAATTGTTATATTTCTTATGATTAATTTCTTATGATTATAAATACAACACAAGCCATTTCAATTCTGCTAAGTGATTTGCCTAAGTGTGTGTTGCAGTGATTCCTCATAAGATCGGTCGAATAATCGAGGGCAGTCCGACTGACCGCTGCGGACTGCTGAACGTGGGTGACCGCATTTCCGCTGTGAACAGCCAGTCCATTGTGGAGCTCTCTCACAACGACATTGTTCAGCTTATCAAAGACGCGGGGAACTCCGTCACACTCACCGTGGTTCCTGAGGACGGTGAGTGAGATAATGAAATGTCACATAAATACTGCCGCAGCACATATTCATGCTTTCTCAACCTGTGCCTCATGCTTTGATTTGTCACACTAAGGCAATAATGTAGCTTAAATTGCAAGGCTAATAACCTCAGTGAAATTTAATATCAATTATGCATGCATATTTAAATTGAATGCTTTATAAAGGGCGTTTAGACCAATTATTAGCCTATTTCAACTACAAATCATGACTATACACTGTTCATTTGTCATGTTTAATACGTTAGCTCGCATGCATGAATTTGATACAACAAAACAGCATTAATTGGCACAGGCTTTTGCAGTTCAAATCTTCCTGATCTTATTGTGAAACATTCATCATTAATATTACAGAAGTGTTGCAAATGCTGTTTCATAAGGGCTTTAACACTTGATGTTTATCACTTCATATGACAATCTGTTTTTATTGGCTGTTTAGAGTACAAAGGCCCACCCTCAGGAGCCAGTTCGGCCAAACAAAGTCCAGCACCGCAGCACAAGATTCTCAAATCCACTCAGGATGAGAGGTGCAGTCCACTGTTATGTATTTAAACCACTTTAAATGTGCTCATTCCTTCTGTCTATTTGTTGTAAATTAATGTAAATTCAGCCATATACAGTAGCCGATAAAATTAAGCTCTCAACACTTACGGAGTATTTAAGCCACACTTCTGCTTTTTGTGTTACTTATGCACAGATATAATTTGGATATGGATGAGATCAGGGATGAGCTCGTACGGACAGAGTATAAAGCTCTTCCCATGAGTGAACAGGGAACGCTGTGTGTCGCCAACTCCAAACAGGCAAGAGTCACACTTACATCACAAACTGTGCTTAAAATTTAACTAGAGAACATGTCTAGGGTAATGTATAATGGAATATTTCAACATTGCATAAAAAAATTATGCGATCATTCTAGGTATTTAAGCCAAGACTAAAAACTACAATGTAAAATCAAAATCACGTCACAAAATCTAGTCAAGGATTATAATTAATTTCTTCATGCCATCACAGAAATAAATGAAAGTTTGAATATATATTCAAATGGAAAACTTATTTTAAATTGTCATTTCAGAATTGTTTCTTGCATTTTTGTTCAAATAAATGCAGCCTAGTTGAGCATAGGAGACTTCTTTAAAGAAAAAAAAACATGACCCATAACTTTTGAACAGTGGTGTATATCTACATTTTCTACCTAGGGCTGTATTGCGGTAGAGTTGGAGCGTGGACCTCGTGGTTTTGGCTTCAGTCTGAGAGGAGGAACGGAGTATAACATGGGCCTCTACATCCTGCGGCTGGCTGAGGACGGCCCTGCTCTACAGGACGGCAGGATACTCGTCAGTACAGCACACCACTCTTTAATAACTCACATATTGCGGATGGAATCTGCTGACTTTTTTCCATCTTCTGCAGTGATTTTAGGGAAACTAAAATCTGCGGAGTGCATTTAAATGTAGTAAAAGATTTAAGGGAAGCTGAATACGATACCTTTTTATACTCTAAATATTTCAAAATAGGATGTCCTTTTCATGGGTTTGATTCCCAGGAAATACATGAACAAATATATAGCTTGAATGGAATGTGGTTTGATTTGGATGAAAATGTTTGCCAGAAGAATTAAAGGCGTCATGAACTGCCTTTTTTATTATTTTGTACTGTTTTCTGAGGTCCACTTATAATGTTATCAAGGCTTTTACATCAAAAACATTTTTACAATTTAGAGGTAAAAGGCTATTTTCTGTCCTGTTTTGACCCCCCTCATCTGAACGCTCTGTTTGAATAGACGAATTGTAGACTTGGAAGTAAAAGTCCACTGCTATGATTGGCTAACAGTTGTATATGTTTGACAGCCTACATCCTTTACAGATGGACGCTGCGGTGTTTTAGTTTAAAAACGCATAAATACTCAGTACAAATAAAATCATCTGTAATAACAGACAAAGCAAAAGTGATCACGTAATGAAAACAGTTACACTTGTGTGGCGCGACATCGGGTTCAATATAGTCAGCATAGCACCGTCTTTCAGTTTCAATCTTTCTGAATATCCTGATTTTGCCTCGTTTGTAAACACATCCGCTGTAAAATCAAGGGAAAAAAGGACCAAGTTCTTACTGGCACATCATTAGAAATAAAGTTCATCAAATAAACTTTATTTTTTGGTTTCTACATAGACCTGCGCGTTTGCCTCTCTCATAAACACTACATGTGTGAATCGGTGGGCAGGGCTAAACAGACAGCGATGTAGAAGCAGGTGTTGATCTTCTTCTGCGGAGGCAGTGTTTAGCCACACTATCACATCATAAAGTGGCACATTCCACAAACTGTCGTTTTGACTTATTGGCTTTAATATAAGCTGTTTTTAGACTAACGAGAGTTGAAACTTGCACAATGACCTCTTATATACCAAAATATCAAGGGAATTTTGATTTCTCAGTTTATGATCCCTTTAAATGCAAATGTTAATTGACTTTCAAGGCCATATCAGTCATCACCTTCTTGTCTGAAGTCAATTGATATGGGTTTTTCATTGGCGGATGCTGATACATGAAAAGCAAGATATTTTGGTCTTTAACTAAACTCATCACCTCTTATGGCCTGAACCAGATACCACAAAGATATTTCAATAATGATAAAACACATAAATGATCTTATGCCTGAATGTGCAGGTAGGAGATCAGGTAGTGGAGATCAATGGAGAACAGACGCAAGGCATTAGTCACACCAGAGCCATTGAGCTGATCCAAGCTGGAGGAAACAAAGTGCTACTGTTACTGCGACCGCAAGCCCTCTTATCAGAGAACAGTGAGTTATAACACACAAACACACGATGATGCTGCTATATACGTAAGCATGCTGTAAGAACATCAAGACAACATGGGTTGCTTGCTAACTTCAGCTTTCTTTCTTTCTCTCGTTCTCTCGTTCTCTTCTTTGCAGGTTGTGTAAGCTCCTCTGCGGTGTGTTACTGCCCCCAGGAGCATCATCACTAACAGCCTCTTTTCCTCTAGGTCTTTTATTCTTTGGTAATGGGACTTTTACTAGACTTTCTTTGCTCCTTAATTGCTAGTCTTTTCTCTGCTTTATTGTGTACATTTTTGGATCTGTGAAATATGTTCATGCTCTTTGCAATCACAACACCATGAAAAATTGTTTCACTCAAAAATATAGCAGGGCAATGCATTTACATAGCAATTCATTAGCAACCAGCCACAAAACAGGCAAATACCACTCAAATATAATTGGTTACCATGGTACATTTTTATAAGGCCTTAATTAGTCATAGTATTTTAATTCTAGGCAGTGGAACCAATGCACATCTTTTCGCCCTTATGTTCTGCAGGAGATGTTATCCTTCCTGATCCGCCGGGAGCCAACACTTCCAACATTCCTCTCAGTTCTCCTCTCCTTCATCCGCCATCCACCTCAGCGAAGAAGGAAACGTCAGACCTGACAAGCTCCTTTGCCCGTTCTCGCGACTCCTTGGATCTGGCCTGCGAGGATCCTCGCTCTAAAGACAGCAAGAGGGAGAAGCGTGCCAAACCACCAAACACCAGCTCTTCCAGAGTCCCGCAGCAACGGCGCATCAAGAGTCGGTCCGCTGAGAATCTCCTTGATCTCGGAGATACAGAGAAATCCAAAAGCCCATCCAAAGACAAAGCTTGCAGCCACAAAGAAAATCTGCAACAAAGCACTCGAGACTCCCACAAGAACAGAAAGTCTTGCCAACATAGTCGCTCAGTCAGTCCCCAGAAGTCAAAGCGTGAAGGACAGGAAGTAGTAATTGGCGAAGCGCAGGGACGGAAAAAGGAACGTCGTGTGAAGGGGAAAGCGAGCGTGGACCAGAAGAAAAGTGACGCTGAAAGAAGGAAAAAACAGGAATCTAGAGGAAGGAAACTAAATGAGACCCAAGAAGGGGAGGAGAGGTGGAGAGCTGAGAGAAAAGTGAAAAACAAAGGAGAGGATGAAGTGCTTGAGCCAAAAGGGGAAATGGAGCTCAAAAGCACCCGAAAGAAGAAAAAACAGAGAGATAGAGACATGCGAAATGAGGACACCCACATATCGAGCAGAAAGGGAGACAAGAAGAGCAGACAAACAAAGGATAAGGGGGATCAAATGGAAGAAAACAGGAAGGAAATGATTACAGATAAGAATGAAAGCAAAAGAAAAGGAAATGAGAGCGAAGACAGGAAAGACGACATTGTCACCACAGATGTGGCTCCAGTCACCACCAGGGCGAGTCTAGTCTTTGACCACCCTGGACCCTTGAGCGACGGCCTTTGGGAGATCCCTAGTTTTGCACGTATCCTCACGCACGAGGAAGCGATGCGAGATGTTTGCGAATAGTTTGGCGATCCTTGGGAATAGAAGGTTTAAGGCCAGAAACATACACAAGTACGTGAATGCAAACGCTTCTAGCTGTGATTTCACACAGTTCATCATGGATTGCAAATTGCATTCTCAACATTTCAGCACTATCGTGGGAATATCGCGAGTTAGTTAAACTGTCGACATGTTTATAGCTAGCTACCTAAATAACATCACATCTGGTTTATTGGCACAGACATTTGAAGAAAACTAGAGTACAAGACTAAGCATCTTCAAGGGGTAGTCAAAGTATTCAAGGGGCTGATTGAGATTTCTTTATACATCTATGTACAGCAGGTCAGTGTTTCAAGCATTTGCACTTGTGTGGAACATTGCCTAGCCAAACTTCTCCTAACATGTTCCTTATACTGTAAAAAAAATCTGATGTTGAGTTTAATAATATTAAATTTATGGAAAAATTGATACAGCATATAATACATTCTACTGCATAAACTCAAAAATAAAAAAAGTTTGTTACTTGTGAATTGTGGCTTGCAAATAAGCCTCATGTTGTTCCAAACCTTTTTTTTCTTCTGTGGAGCACAAAAGAAGATATTTTGTAGAATATTGGTAACCAAATGGCTTTGGCCCCCATAGACTTCCATAGTATGGACAACAAATACTATAGAAGTCAATGGGACCAAAAACTGTTTGGCTGCCAGATTTCTTAAAAATATCTTATTTCATAGACTAAATGGTTTTGGGTCCCACTGACTTCCATAGTATGGACAACAAATACTATAGAAGTCAATGGGACCAAAAACTGTTTGGCTGCCAGATTTCTTAAAAATATCTTATTTCATAGACTAAATGGTTTTGGGTCCCACTGACTTCCATAGTATGGACAACAAATACTATAGAAGTCAATGGGACCAAAAACTGTTTGGCTGCCAGATTTCTTAAAAATATCTTATTTCATAGACTAAATGGTTTTGGGTCCCACTGACTTCCATAGTATGGACAACAAATACTATAGAAGTCAATGGGACCCAAAACTGTTTGGTTGCCAGATTTCTCCAAAATATCTTCTTCTATAGACTAAAAGGTTTTGGGTCCCATTAACTTCCATAGTATGGACAACAAACACTATAGAAGTCGATGAGACCCAAAACTGTTTGGTTGCCAGATTTCTTTTAAATATTATCTTTTATACCCTAAACCGTTTTGGGTCCCATTGACTTCCATAGTATGGACAACAAATACTATGGAAGTCAATGGGACCTGAAACTGTTTGGTTACCAAATTTCTTCAGAATATCTTCTTCTACAGTGCAACAAAATGGATTAATTGTTCACAGTAAGCTCAAAAATATGCATTTAGAAAGTAAATAGGGTGAATTTTAATTTCACGGCAACTTTAAACCAGGTTGTTTATTACTTAGATAGGTAGCTATAAACAAGTCGAAAGCTTAGAGGCACAGACATCTCAAGGTCTTAACTTTATCGCCCGTTTGAATAGAGAGGTTTGAAACCGCTACAATAACACAAATCATGTATCTTCAGTGCATAGACCAAGCATTCACATGCTTGTTTACATACTTTCCAAGACTATGTTTTTGGCCTTGCACCTTGTTTTTCTCCATGTGGCTTCAGAGCGTATCATGTGAACCATGTTCATGTGCTTCTCTTTGGACAGTGGTCAGCATGAGCTTCTCATTCAAATTATTTTAAAAAGTTTGTAATAAGCAGTCTCACAAACAGACTGATTCGACATGGAGTTTCATCTAAACTGCTTTATGGAGATCATTGCTTAATCGTCTTGGACAGGCAATTTCTGAGGCTTTGTGGTCGAACGCATGGAACTCTGTTTTGTCCGGACAGCCTCTTTTAATTTGCTTCTTGCCAGCTGACATTAAACAACGTGAGGACTCCGTCAACATCACAATGCAATCCTTCCTTATGCAATTTAAAGGAGCACGCCCCATTAATCACCAAAAACAACAATGCAAGTTTATGTTTCGGTTAAAAACAGCACGTCTTTACCCCAAAGAATAATTTTTTCCCCCCTGCATGCAAACTCCTTGTTTTGTTGCATGCATTTTAGACCCGTGCAGTTTATCTCTAACATTTTCAAATGGTGTAAATAAGAACTGTCTTGAAGATTGGGGGCTTTACCAGAGACTTTTCAGACTGTTCTCTCTTCCATGTCTTTGATTCCCTGATCTCCAAATATTATAATTGCAAATGACCAGAAACTTGTGCTTTAATATACCAAGAACATGATCAAATGTTTATTTATTGAAATATGTATATGAATAGATACATGTAGCTATAACAGATTGTGACATTGATTTCGGTGTAGAGGTCCAGGCTCTTGCTAAGCACCGTGGTAGTTTTACCTTGTAGCAACTGTTTTGACTTGTCACAAAACAAATGGTACATGCAAATGTATTTTTAAATATTCTATGAAATCAGATTTAATATGGTAAATATTTATTTTATTTTTTTTCTGGACATACATGTCCAGTCTGCTCAAGATGAAGGCAAGCAGTGCAAGCAATTCATCCCCTCGGTTATGAGGCTATACTGTACTTTACAGCAGTAAAGCTTTGGTTTATGACCATTAGAAGCCAGTGCGCATGGGTGAACCTCATGAAGGTTGTCAAGGGGTCATATTTGATCTCAAATTTAAAAGAAAATATTTTGCATTAAAGGAATAGTTCACCCGAAAAACGGCCAACAAATAATTAATGGGTGCCGTCAGAATGAGAGTCCAGACTGTTGATAAAAACCTCACAATAATCCACATGACTTAAGTACATCAATTATTGTCTTGTGAAGTGAAAAACTGTGTGTCTGTAATAAACAAATCCATCGCTTCTGGCCAAAATACTGACATATTTGTTTTGGACAGTTTTGGCTTGTAAACTGTGTTTAATCTTTGCATCTTTCCCTCCTGATTCACACAAGAACTTTTTTTTACTGGAGAAAGCAATATCATGGATTGAGTACGTAAAAAAAACGTCTTGATGAATTTGTTTCTTATAAACGCACATCTTTTTGCTTCATAATGTAAATTGATGGACTGGAGTGGTGTGGATTACATGTGGGTTATTATGATGTTTTTATCACCTGTTTGGATTCTCATTCTGATGGCACCCATTCACTGCAGAGGATCCATTAGTGAGCAAGTGATTTTGGGTGAACTATTCCTTTAAGAAAATAAAGCCTGCTTTATTATTATTATTATTTATTTTTTTAATATGACATTATTTTTATGACAATTAAGCACGTTTACTCTTCAAATTACTGTATTTTTTGCATTAGGTTTAACTTAAACTTAATACATTTAATATTAAAATAATTTCATATTTATGTTGCACTAAAGTAACGAGTATCTAATAAATATGACTGCAGTGAAAAGCAAACATTCTGAATCAATTACAGAGAATTTTTAGGGGAGAGATAATTCATGCATACTGTCACAATGAAACAAATCATAAAAATCCTACAAATAGACTTCATTAGGCTTCATTGTCTTTATGCAGATTTTGATTTTGGAGGTGAAATATGATCTAGACAGTTTTCTGTGATATTCACCCTAATGTTTAAAGATTCAGTCTTTAAATACAGATTATAAATAGGGAAAAATGATCCCTTGTTGCGGGTATAATGTCTTTTATCAAACTATCTATTTTAAGATCATCAGCTAATTTTTTCCATGCTTGCTTGCAACACCTGATCAGTTGTGGGAGGTTTCTGAAAGGGCTGATTTATTGGGGTTTTGAGGTCTGAAATGTGGCCAAGATAAACGTGTAAGGTGTGATTTCATAGGAAGTGATATGATCTATCAATACCAACGGACTGGTGGCCGTTCCATATGCTGTGTGTGATGTGATTATGACCTCAGGGTTTGGATATGTAACTAACAGCTGTGACACAGCTTTGATATACAGTAAATGATGAGAACGCAAACTAATTACAAAGACAAGATTATTGTTCACGATAAGTTGTGGTGCAACATTGTGTTTTTGTGCTAATGACAGACATTGAAAACTGTTTAAATTCAACAAAATGTGAAGACATGTCATGAAAGCAATGTTAGCATCTGCTGTACATACGTAACTCATCTTCATTGTTCATATTTAAAAGAGGCCTAGAATCACCTCATATTAGACTAAATACATATGGGCTCAGTATAACGTGGTCTGATTCATGTAAATGTTTAAATAATGTACAGCACCTTTATAAAAAATAGCTGAGTGGTCTCTCAGAAGAAAGAATAGAAATATGTATATTTGTTCCGTTATTTTTCTAAGTAATTATTTAAGTATGGCGGGAAAATATTTCAAGGCAGTGCAAAGAAAATAAAATCATATCCTGGTGTTCTGGTCATGTAACGCTTTCTGCAAAATCAAATCAAATTAGTTTTAACATTTGTATCAAAAAATGATAAGGGTCTCCTGAACAATCCACTTTTACTTCAAATTAACTTTTTCCCCCTTAATTGAAATCTTGCGACTTCTGCTTCATAATAATGATGTTATTGAAATATGTGAATTATTCCTTAATTGGCATTTCTATATTTAACATCAGCTCGGTTTAATTTATATTGAATTAAGATCATTTTCTGCTGAGTTTTGCAGGGGAACTGGCAGTGTGACAAAACCGAGCGCGCACAGATAAGAGCAACGTTTGACTAATTTCATTATTTTAAGATGACTTGAAGCTATAAGATTTTAAAAATACAATGACTGTGACCATGACATTTATTATCCCAGCTCAAGTTGTCTACGGAAAGCCTGTCACGCCTACAGCATTGTCTAGATGATAAAACCTATGGCTTGTCACACAGAACAAAATGTAGACTACTTTAATGGCTTACAGTAAAGAAATATGCCTGTCTAAGCGGCATTTGTTCTGCTGAGTTAAGCAGAACACTGCTGTATCATTTCATGATTGCTCAGCGATGTGTAAAGTACTCAGTACCGTAGAGACTGGAGGAGGTATTTTAGGTGGTAGCAGAGATATAAAGGAGCAGATAAATGTATTGCAAACCATGGATAATAAATGTCTGACAGGTGAAATATATTAGGATTCTTTAACATGCAGGCCTTACGGTTTCTACGATCTGCCACCAGGTGTCACTAACCAGTCATTTCCAATAAAACACATCACTAATGTAAGCGAAACATTTGCTTATGTGGTCATATAAAAGTTTATGTACTTATAATGAATGCACATTTTAATATATTAATGTTATAACGCAAAAAATTACACAGCTGTGTGTTCTTGTTGAAATGCAATAGTTGAGGCTTGAGCAGTAAATGTATTACATGGGTCTCCCCTGTTGAAAAAAACAGCATATGCTGGTTAGGTATGTTTTGACGCTGGGATGCTGGTTTAAGCTGGTCCTTTGCTGGTTTATGCTGGTCCTTTGCTGGTTTAAGCTGGTCCTTTGCTGGTTTA